AAAGTCCTCGTCATTCACAGTGAAGCCGTCCTTCCACAGCCTCACCACCATCTCCACCTGGAACCAAGGCAAAAAAACCCCAATCAAATAGACCTGACAGGATTCAGAGATAAAGTCGCCACACAGCTGTTAACCTCGGGAGGTCGGACTTTTACTGCGGACTGTTTATCCTGGCAATGAACGGGTAAACAAAATATCCTGTGATCACTGAAGCCTGGTGCTTGTGCTTTCAACTGAGATTTGCCTGACAGAGCTCGGCGAGAGTTCTCATTTGGAGAGTCTTACGCCATTTTCACTCACGCACCGCAGGCCATTGGAGGCGAACGTGAGCATGCAATTTTCAACGCAATTAAACAAATGTTTAGCCTGCCAGGTCCCTATTACAAAGGCTTTGTGAGGTTCGTCTGGGCACGTGCCAGAAAAACTACAGGTAATAGTTCAGTGATTTCTCTGCAGGCAAGTGCGTCCTGCATGGCTGTAGACACTCACTGTTCTACCTCTTTCCTGACTCCTCCATTTCTCTCCCCGTTTCCCTTCCTTAACAATAGCTTCTTGACAACCTGAGACACAGACCATTTCTGATGAGGCTTCAATGAACAGTACATAGGTCAGCTGAAGGATAGAGACATCTCCCGGGTCCTGTGTTAGGTCTTTTGCTGGGTTTTTCTCAAGGACATTACTTCCAGATTTTTTTTTATTCTGTACTTATCCAGTTTCCTCAAAACTTTAACATTTTGGGCTAATAGTCCTAGAGGAATTACTTTGCTGGTGCAAAAATACTATTTATACCTCTCTTGTGGTGTTATCTTTGGCATTTTTCATAGTTTCAACTAAAGAAATGTGAACAAATTAAGTGTTTTTGCCTTAATGATGCAAAAATTGATTCTTTGCTAAGCTGTCAATTATTTATAGACATAACACTAGTTTCACTCCTTAAGTTTGATGCCTTTTTCTACTTAAATGCATTAAGTGGCTTAACAAACAAAAATAACAATCCTGTGAAAATAGTCAGATACAAGGACCGGACTGAAAATGAGTGAAAAAGCAGCCAATACTGATGAAAACCAATTTTAAAAAATGACAAGTGAGTCTGGCTCCTTGGAAGCATAAATGTAAAGCAATGAGGTGTGGCTTAAGACTCTTGCATAGTACTGTGTATACTTTACTTAAATGTTGTGTTATTACTAGTCTATAAGCTCAGAAATGTAGGCTGGACATTTGCAGAGATCTGGCTCTCAAGTGTGAATTTGTCTCTGACCTTTGAAGTCCCTGAGGCATCGTAACAGATCTTCTCCACCTCATCGAGGAGGTCTTCCACAGAAAAACTACGACTCATTGGAGCTTCCTCTTCATTGTCCTCACTGACCACCCTTTATGAGAAGAAAGTGCAGGTATTCACTCATCATGCTTATTGAATGTCAGTCTACAGTCACAAGCGTTAATGTGCAAGACCATGCAAAGCAAGTTCACACACCCCAGAATATGTTATTATTATTATTATGTCCAACCCAGTTATTTTCAGATTATTTCACATCCACGGCATCAATTCAGTCACAGGACTTCATTTGCCTAGAAGTGGATTTAACAAAGAGAATGACTCACCATTGTTCATCTTTTTCACTCTCCACAGTGTCAGTTTCTTTCATGTCTTTCTATGTTTCCCATCTAAGGAACAAGCGAGCACACACACACACACACACACACACACACACACACACACTAGCGTGGTTGATGTTCAATATTTTGGAGGGTAACCTTTTATTGTCTTAGCGGCGTATTATGTGCTACACCGCTTAAAAATGACCTAAAACGGATCATTTTTATGAAGCATTACGTGATCGATAGATAGCCAAACAGCCAAGCAGCCTGCAGCTTTATCGTTATTTATGCAAGTGGGCGGCAGAAAGCGATGGACCCGCAAAGAGCAAAACACACACGCAGGAGCCGGTCGTAAAAACGAGGATTATATGTCAGCATAAACACAACAGATGCCCATTAGCATGCGCGCATAAAGGGTAAGGTCGAATAGTGAATTACCAGTCCGTGTTTTAATCGGTTAATCCAGGGCTACACATCTGCAGCCATAAGTTTCAGGGTAGCGGCGCTTCTGCTGAGCAATACATGTGACGTAACAGTGCCGTAAATCCACTCGCGATGTCGCGGTTGTACACTCTTCTGTGCTGAACTCAGCAGATCTTCTCTCCCAGCTGAAACTCACGATACAGTATTAGATGGCATGGAAAGCCCACTGGATCCAAACTTGTGTGCGTTTGTTTCTATTTAGAGGTAAGATGTCTCATATGGCTCAACTCTATGGAGGGCTTAAACTGCCAAAATACAAAACAAATAATTAATGACTCACTAATAAACACGCAGGGAAACAAACACAGACAAAAATAATTTAATATAGTTTTCTGGTACATTTTCTTGCAGAAGCTTCTCATACGCCCTGAGGACCAAAACTACCAAAATTATAAATGAACAGGTAAATAAATCAGTAAAAAACAAATAACAATTTTAAAAAAGCTATCTTACTGAAACGCACAAAATCTCTTTTTGGTTGTTTTAACTGAGGAACAGAGCAACCAAACCTGGCACACAGATACATCTTCCACACTGGATGTGATCACATTGCTTTGGTTCAAGGTTCAAGGTTCTTTATTTGTCACATGCATAGTTATACAAGTATAACACACAGTGAAATGTAGCAACCTGTCTTTGAAGCTGACAGGTGATTGCTTATGGACATTCTAGGCTCTGACTGCCTCACTGAAACTCCAATACATTTATTACGATATATTTACTACGTTAATCAGTGACATCCCGCACTCAGTAGTTTCAGTCGCTCATTTGGAAGTTTGGAAAAATTTGTCTTGGATCCAGCCCTCTATACAACATCACTGGTTATTTTACTTGTAGTTGTTTCAAATGCCTGAATGTAAATCACTGCCAAATCGCTGTGAATTGCTTCCTGTAGGGGTACAGCTTTGGGCCCCTCAAGGTTCTCATCTATATCACATATTATGTTCCCTAACAACCACCTCTCAACAGGTTTTAATGACCCATTTGTAGCAGTTATGCACTTAAATTACCTTTCACGTGCATGGAACCACTTTCACTGTACAACAATAACATTTAAATTGTTGCCTATTTGTTATTGTGACGCAAAACTTGAATAATGCATGATATATTATGATGTCATTATGTTGTACATTGTAGACAATAGAAACAATACTACAGCATGGTCATTTAATAGTCAATTACAATTCAACACATCAAATATAATTTTATAAAAGATATTTTTATTTTTCCCCATTCATTTGCTTACTTATTAAATGTGCCTCGTATTTATGAATTTGGCATACGTTTATACTTTTTTGACATAATTATAGACATTGTGCTTGAGAAATAATATAGCATCCAAGGTGGCATGTTCAGTATAAAACACACCCTTAAACTTATTTTCATTATCTTTGAATCGATTATCATTGATAGCAAATGTATTATTATAGTATTTTCACTACTTCTAATAAAAGTAGTAATTTAAACTTGACATATGTTACATCAATTATTAAGCAGCTACACAGCGAAGATGGTGATGTATGGTGTGAAAAACAGGCTGTATTTCTGAAATTACGCTAATGAGAGATTTAAAAAAATGTTTAAAAATGAAAGGAAGCTCTTGATGGTAACAGAATTTAGTTTAGGTGTGGACTTAAATCATATCCAGGAAAATATGTTTGGTTAACATGAAATCCATGCCTGATCTTTGATGGCGTATCAGTGGAGAATGATTTCAGTGACCCTTGACCTTTTCTGCATTCCCATACCTTCTATTAAACTCTATGAGAACATATAAGCACAGGTAAAGAAATTTCATTTTTCAATCATCTAACCGATATTTCGATGGCGAGATAATGAACTGGAGATGTGAATGAATCGTCTAGTTCACTTCATTTGAAATCGACAGCCTGTCTGGAGTGCATTGCCCACACAGAACAGGGTACAATGATAATGAAAACAGATTCCTGTTTCCATGTGAAAGGTTTAAATTTTCTTACATTTGTATAAAAAATATTTATTTGAGATATCAAATGGGAATATTTTATGGCACAAGGTTCTTAAGAAAAAAACAACAACATTTTGACATTGATTTTTAGAAACCATTGCTTGAACCAAAAAAGAGGAAAAAAAGAAGAAAAAAACCCAAAACAGATGGCTAGCACAGTTGCATCTTGACTCGAGCCAGAAATAGAACAGAAAACACACAAACAGTCATTTTTACTTGTGGGGATAAAATGACAGGGAGTGCAATGAAAGAAGCAAGGCTAAAAGCATCAAAGTGAGAAGAGATTATTATTAATTCAGCCTCTTCTACTACATACTTGGAGGTCACAAAGAATTCAAAATTTGATAGTCAGTACAATTCAGCCCTGTCTTGCAAACAAAAACAGTTTTTTAGGTTGTAGTAATAATAGCTTGTGTGATTATTCGAGTTTTAAAGATTCTGATTGCTGCTTTACAGGGCAAATCTAAATATTTTTATCATTCACAGACCTTTTACATTTGTTGATGTTTATATATATATATATATATATATATATATATATATATATATATATTTGATGAAGACAAAGAGTGAATTGCTGCACACACTGGACATTCAGGCTGCCCACTTCCATCTGTTTTTCTGCTGGCGTCAAGTGTACCACCTTTTGTTATTCATTTGGTGACTTATCGTGCTTTAATAGTACTTAGCTGATTAACTGACTGTCCCCAGTGTACAATACAAGTACTTACCCATAGTAGCATATCTGCATTAAGAATTACTGCCTTTGTGATATCAAGTATCCATGTAATAACAAAGATAGTAGGTCTTTTGGTGGTAATCCAGTCAGTAGAAATGAATGCACCTGCCAAACAGACTTAGAACCACCACACACAGAGAGAGAGGGAGAGAGAGGCGGGGAGATAGGGAGGTAGACACAGAGAGAGAGAGAGAGAGATGGCGCCTCGAACTCGATCCTGCTCTCACTGAGGCAGTGTTTAGAGCCGGTTAGAGAGATTCAGTAAGGGGCAGACAAAAGAAAAAAAAACATGGTGAACACAAGGAAAAGCTCACGGACTAGGAGCGGTCCATTCATCTCGTCGAGGACTAGGTCGTCGTCGAGAAACGAGCGAAACTCTGAGGAACATGTAAGCCGGTTTCTTTTCTTTACCGGCGAGCTAGCTGGCAGGCTAGTTTGGCTAGCTGGTTGCTAGCCTTGGCCTCAAGGTGCTCCACATAATGTATTATTCACAGCAAAATACGAGCAGTATCGACACTGACACCAACACAGTCACGCAGATACACAGTGTAAGACATGATTGCGGCTAGTCGTTTGCGTATCCTTCGCACTGAACGGATTGTACAGCTGTTAGATTACAAGCTAGCGATATGAACTGGCTATAGCTTCAACTTGAGTTCCCTTTGTTTTTGGCAATTTTAACCGGCTGACTTGTTCCACTGTTTTCACCATTAATTAGCCCACCCAATAAAGACAGTTGGGGTTTTGACTCAAGGCTGTTGGCACTACTATGTGTCGCTATCCTCGAAGTGTCAGCTTACTTATTATCTCACATATGAAGGGAGAAAGCGATAGTTAAGCTAGCATTGTAGGTTATAGTTAGCCTAGCAGCTAGCTTACAGTGGGGGGAAGGGAGTCCCAGGTTCACAACAGTTGGCTGGCTCGGGTCCGTATTTAGCAAGTCTGAACCTGGTGAACTTTGAGTTATAAATGACCCAAAGACCCATGGGCAAGTTGGTTTTTAGACTGTCCGTTTAAAACACACTCGTAGAGTTAAATATTCCCATGTGTTCTTCGAAAGAATGATTTGATAAATGAGCTTTAGATTTTACTCCCGATCGCCCGACCTACAAGCTGCCTGACAGGCTTTGTTTCAAAATGTAAACATTGTGATTATGCAAGACAGGAAGGTCTGTATTTCCGTAATATTTACGATTATTAAGGCACTTAACACAGACAAAGAAATCATTTAATCAATGGGAAATATCTGTTGGTTGCTGTTAGCGCATTCCTGAGTTTTAATGGTTTGTTGGACAAGTGGTGGTACGTCGCAGAATTGTGGGTCATGATTCATGAAATACGTAGCTCCAGTCCAGACCAATCGATAGCACCCGATATTACACTGTGTGAGTGTAGAACTGCACTCTTTGTAACAGAGTTGTAACTTTCCCACCTTTTATTTACATTGCCATATCACAAGAAGTCAGAGTAGTGTTGTACTCCATGCAACCAGCCATTTTACTCTGTTAGCTACTTGTTGACCTTGTCAGAACTTGTCAGAACCGACTGTCCTGCTGTGACAGTGTTTGCAGAGTGATTCACATGTGGAAATGATTTCACGGTGGACCTCTTGGGCAGCCTCCGTGCGTTTCTTCACTCCTGGTACATCCTGCATTTTACAGTCTGTCTGCATCCATCTATCCACCCAGTCAGACAAACCCCTCTGTCAGCACTGCAGACAGTTGCCTATGACAACAGTGAGATATGCTCACATATCAGCGGGGAAGTTAGGCTGTGAAGGGCATGAGCATCAAGGGCATATGTCTGGTTGGTGCTGTGCTGAGATTCACAGGGTACATTGAAGAAGTGGGTTCAGGGCGTCTTGTTTCATGACAGTCCTCTATTCTGGATTTGACGCTCTCCGATCTTGTTCTCTTGTGTCCTCGATTTTTTTTTTTCCCGCCCCATGAAATATATTTTTACTTAATATTCAAAGAGACCTTGTATGCAGATATTTGTGAAACATTCTCTCTGTATTTGTTATCCTCTTTTTTCCTTTCCTTGTTTTTTCTGATTGTGTGTCACAGTTTTGCCTTTACTCCCCTAAGTTCTGGTGTTATGTGTGTGTTTGTCCAACAGAAGGAACCCAGCAGTGATGCGAGCAGTCCCAGCAGTCCACGGTTTGCACCGCCTTCCAAGCGCACACGGCGGCAGACTGCTTCTGAGCCAAGCTCCAGTGATACCTCCCCGTCCCCTCAGACTAAGGGCCAGAGGGTCAGCTGGGGCATTCCTACCTACTGCACAAGGTCAGCTCTTGGCCTAGTTTTTTTTTACACACGTAAATTTAATTAAGACAGAGTTGGTCAAGATGGATATTTTGTGGCTCTGGCTGTGAAACCAGAGTTGCATTGTTTCATGTCATGTTTTAGTGCTGTGTGATTAACCAAATTTGAAATTATGATCAGTTATGATCTTCGCTTTTAACAGTTATGAAGACAAGATTATCTGGATAAAACAGTTACTTCTTTTTGCATTACGTTTGCCTAATTTTTTAAAATGCAGTTTTCTTTGTTTATTTTCTTTTTAAGAGTTATTTCTTTGTATATATATTTTTATTTTTCTTTAATACTTTTTTCCTGCTATTGTCAAGCATACATTTTTTTTACCCTTCCATAAAAGCTCAGACTCACTTGCTGTTTAGTTCAGCTCTAGCTGAGATGACCAAAAGAGAGCATGCATAGACCTGTTAAGAGGAAGAAAAACTTATAAGGTTTCCATGGGTGAACTTGGGGATGGATTATTAGAAGTTGGCCTCGTATTTGAGGGTCTTTCCTTTGGCCACCTGGCCGAGGGCTAACTTGCAGGTCTCACAAGGCACAAAAGTTCACTGCACCTTGAGGCTCCCCATTAGAGGCAGACTGGTAGCTGCACTCTTTACCCGTGTCACCCACTAGCTCTACCTGTTTTTTGTTTTGTTTTTTTTCTTCTTCATGGAAATTCAAATGTTCAAAAAAATCCAGGTCACAGTTATCAACTAAAATAATTGTGATAATGATTTTTGGTTTAATCTTGTAGCCTTGTTGTGCATTGTGATCAGAAACACTCCATCCTAAGCTCCTAAGCAGTAATATGTGTGATTGCCATCTTTTGTGCAGCTGTCAGAATTATTTTCTCTTTGTTGTTCTGTTTTACAGACTGTCGTCTCGCATCATGCAAAATGGGCACGGTAAAGTATTTTCCCCCAGTTTATCCCTGTTTAAATAACAATCATCTGGGGAGCATATGATTAAAAAATACCAATTTTAATTGAATCTTCTATCTGTGCTGCAGCCCATATGAGTCACCGGAATGAGGAGAGCGGAGGGGGAGATCACTCTCATATGAATGGCCATGTGGAGCTGAAGAGGAGCTGTCGGGTGAAGAAGAGCCAATTTGAACACCTCAATCAGAGCCTGCTGTTTGACCAGCTGGTCAACAGGTAGCTTCAGGCAGTCATACTGTTGACATGTTTCTTTGCAACAGTGCTTTGAACAGAGAATGAGCTGGAAATGTGGTTAACCGGTTCATTTGAAAGACGCATTCATTTTTGGAACATATGAAAGTGGATCCTAAAAAAATATTCCTTATTAAATAGTATTTGTATGCTGTGTGTTGTAAGTTGTCACAGTGTTTATTGGTTCAAGATTTAAGATGAAACATGAGTAGAGAGAAAAACATTTTTGAGATTCTGTACTCTGAAAAGAGAACACTGTAGACAAAGTTGTTATCTTGTTTCTCATTCTGTGTTGGTTTACGTGTGTGCAGCACCGCGGAGGCTGTTCTTCAGGAGATGGACAACATCAGTAGCATCAGGCAGAATCGTGAGGTGGAGCGACTTCGCATGTGGACCGGAGAAACTGAGGAGGTGAGCGAAGCAGTGGAGCGCCACACAAACCAGGGTTTGAAAAGTACCACTGCCTGATGATGCAAGGTGAATGCAAGTGTTGGCATTAAGGCTCTTCTCTTTTAGGAAAACATGGACATGTATTCACGGGTGAAACGCAGGAAATCCATGCGCAGGAGTACTTTCAACATACCTGCGCATCACAAAGTCATGGGCAAAACAGAGCAGGAGGAGGAAGAGGAGGAAGGAACTGAAGGTCAGTTCCCTATTAATGTTCTGCTTACGAATCAGTGAAGAAAGCAAGAGATCATGAAGTCGTTATGAAGTACCTCGTCTTAAAACAAATTAATCATAACATTTTTTGATTGCTTAGTGTACTGTATAATATTTTAAAAACTCAGTATTCTCATATTTAAAGATGATACTTATGGCTTTCAGAATCTCATGGTGAGGAAGAGGAGGAAGATGCAGAGGATGATGATGACGATGATGAAGGAGATGAAGCAGAGGAGGCAGGGGAGGAAAATGACAGGCCGTACAATCTGCGGCAGCGTAAGACAGTGCAGAGATATGAAGCACCGCCTATTGGTAAATATATGTATTTTCTGAATTATTCTTCACGCTTCTAAATTGGTTTCAAATGTAATTTAAACAGAACAAAAATCACAGTAAGTGGAAATTATACCAGAGTGTAACCACTAATCATTTTTTGTTTCCCTTTTTTCAGAGCCAGTGAACAGAAAACAGAGCAACCCCTCACTTTTTGACACCCACAGATCCCCAGCGAGGAGAAGCCATATAAGGTGGGCAAACTGTGAAAAGCCCAAATCTGGTGCTCAACATATTACTGTCTTTTTCACAAGTAGCTTTTCACTAGTACGAGTAATGTGCTCATGAGGGAAAAAAGGTATGTCAGTGCGGAGTGATACAATTCTGACTCTTGATTTGTCACGCCTCTCCAGAGTGAAGAAACACGCCATTCACAGCAGTGACACCACCTCATCTTCTGATGAAGAACGCTTTGAGCGCAGAAAAAGCAAGAGCATGACTCGGGCCAGGAACAGGTGCTGGCTGCTGCCTTCTTTCTTCTTCCCTCAGTGTTTTTAACTACTCGGTTGTACTCACTTATTTCACTTGAATTTGTTGCAACAGGTGCTTGCCCATGAATCTGACGGCTGAAGACCTGGCTAGTGGGGTGCTGCGTGATCGAGTTAAAGTGGGTGCAAGCTTGGCTGATGTGGATCCAATGAACCTTGACCCTTCAGTGAGTGAAAATACTCCCAAGTTCCAAAACAATAATAGAACACAGTTTAGCCTGAATACTTGGGTTCATCAAAATTATTAGACAAAACTAAACGACCCACTGTTTAGTTTTGGAACGGTCAATTATTAATACATAAAAAAGAAATTTTCTGAGTTAAAATGTGACCTGTTATGCTTTTCCTTATTTAAAGTGGTGGATTGCCATATTAAACATAGCCAAAATTTCCATTAAAGAGTTCAGTGTATGGACACACTTAGAATGTACTTCAGGCTGCTCTAATAGCCCTTTTCCACTAGCATCTACTGGACTAAACGGGACTCGACTCTTTTCGGTGGTTTTCCATTACAATTAAACATCACAAAATGTGTGTGCGGTCGTTACAGCCGTGTCCCGAAAGTCCTCTGACGTCATTTGTATGTAATGCGAATGGAGGGCGTTGAGATGATGGTATACCCGCTGCTCGGTGTGGGTTTTCGTCAGACTTGGGGACCACGGTGTTGTTTTCCTTTAGGCATTTCCCTAAATAATGGGGCTTTAGATTTTTGTGAAGGAGATGCTCTCATGACTCATCGAGTGATGCCACTGACTAACCAATCAGTAGAATGCAGGCTGTTGACGTCTCATTTTTGGATTGCCTCAGAACGCTTGGAAACGCGGCTGAGTAGGTACTAAAATACCTGGTACTGGGTACTATCACCTAATGGAAAACCCGAAAAACCGAGTCGAGCCATTCCCAGTTGAGCCGAGTAAATACTAGTGGAAAAGTTCTATAAATATCCCATACAATTTTCTTTTTCTACTCTTGGGTCTGTATGATGTCAGGGAGGGGGGATATCCTTCATTTGTTCAGCTCGATCTCTGAGCACAGAAACTCCACCGTGTGATTTTCAAATCTTTTGTTTGCAAGAAAGAGCCCACTAGAAGAAAGGTGGCTTAAAGTCAGGAAGAGAGGTACAGCGCTTGCTTCCGACATTGGATAAACTGACTTAAAATATGTCTGTGGTTGTGTGTGTCTTCTCCCTAGGTAAGATTTGACAATGTGGGTGGTCTTAGTAATCACATACAGTCACTAAAGGAAATGGTGGTATTCCCTCTGCTGTATCCTGAGATCTTTGAGAAGTTCAAGATTCAGCCTCCCAGGTGAGAACGTACTGCAAGAATATAAGGTTATTCAGTTCCAATTTATGCTGTGTTTTCTAGGGAAAAAAATGGGATCGTTACTTTAATGATGACATTATATTTATGCCTTTTGTGCACGATAAAAGAAGTGTAAGCACTATTTGAAGTTGGTTAAGGGAGCATAAAATTGAGTTATCCCAACAATTTACAGCTTGAAGTACTATTAACATCAAATATTGATCAACCACAGGGTGAAAATTTCCTTTATGTAAAAAATCTCTAAAATGTAGTCATTTTAGAGATGAATCTAAAAAGTGGTGAGCTGTAATTATCACATAAACTAAGGTCCTATTCTCCCCCTGTTCTTTTTTTAGAGGGTGTTTGTTCTATGGCCCACCAGGCACAGGAAAGACCCTGGTTGCGCGAGCTCTTGCCAATGAGTGCAGTCATGGTGACAGGAAGGTTTCCTTCTTCATGAGGAAAGGAGCCGACTGCCTCAGCAAGTGGGTTGGTGAATCAGAACGGCAGCTACGCCTGCTCTTTGACCAGGTAAACCACTGCAACAGCACTCTGATGAGGTGGAAGACATTTTTTTGATTCTGATGGCATGTTTTCAGTTCTTCTAGTTCTTTGTACTTAAACACAGGTAAAGCTAAGGAGTGTAATCATATATTGAGTTAAGTAAGCTTGACTTTGGTCCTGTGTGTGCTTTTGACCAGGCTTACCTTATGAGGCCATCCATAATTTTTTTTGATGAGATTGATGGTTTGGCTCCTGTTCGCTCCAGCAAGCAAGACCAGATACACAGGTAAGGCCAATGTCATTTTCAAAGATGCACAGCTGCTTCATGTAAATGTAAAATGCCTAACCTATACAACACTGCTGCACATTAGCAGCAGTGGCATGTCTCTGCATGTGCAGTTCCAAACTGCTGTCTTTTTAACTACCAATAGGTGGCGCAGTTTTGCTAAAACTGCTGGCATTGTAGCTCCAATTGTAAATTAAATTTACTGGATATCTATTTTCCTGCTTGAATTTGAGTTTCATTTGAGCCTTGGTCACAGTAGTAGTGGAAATCAGGAGACCTTCATTTCTGATTTAAACCACTGAATCTGAACTGTGCGTGGGTTAAGAGCCCTTTCACGTAAACACAGTTTGAAGTTGAGCCTTGCTAAACAATTGCCTGCTAGAAAATTAAATATTTGTAACTGTGAAGAGTGCCATTTAAACCAGTGAAGAGTGTGTATGCTCTCTTTTTTCATCCATGCTGCCACGCTTTAGTCAACAGAGCACAAGCACAGTTGCTCTTTGCACCACACTATTTTATTCAGTATGGCTGTTTAATGGACCAAATCTTTGTACCATTTGCAAAAATAAAACCTTGTTAATTTAGGTTGTACCAACTCGTGACCCGTATCAGTATTGATTCAAACAGTATTTGGCTCTTGCATGAAGGTTTGCGTATAATGTTTTAGAGCCATGCATGTAGAAAATTGAATTTGTTGTTCTATAACTGTCTGGCAGCTTTTGTAATTGCCTCCTTTTCTCTGTACAGTTCTATTGTATCAACTTTGCTGGCCTTGATGGACGGCTTGGACAGTCGAGGGGAGATAGTGGTCATTGGTGCTACAAACAGACTTGACTCTATCGACCCGGCACTCAGGAGGCCTGGACGCTTTGACCGGGAGTTTCTGTTCAGCCTGCCCGATAAGAAGGTGAGAAACATCAATACTGTATACAGTGGAAGTGTGCGCACAGTTGTTTCAATGACACCCAGCTGGAGATCGAAAATAATGCAAACATAATTAGTCTCTTACTCATAAGTCCTGTGACAAAATTGGTACACACAGCCCGCTGGCTATTAAAAATCTCCTGTTTTTTTTTCTCTTCATCCTCAGTGTTTGATGTTTTGAGTTAAGCATGTGGCAAAGCAGATGCTCATTAGCTTTCTAGAAAATTAAAATTGAGTCTCAGAAGTTAAATTTTTTTTTCCATACGTAATTGCTTTATTTAGCTCTTAGAGGGCGGGAAGCATAAAACAATGTTGCGTGTGAGTAAAAGTGACAGTGAATCAGATGACCAGAACAGTGCAGGTGACTCCTCCCCATCGAGTCTGTCTAATGGGTCGCCTTGCATCGTTTGTCCACACAGTAGGATCACTGGTAATCAAAGGCTAATCTGCAAGCCAGTGGTGGCTTCTCACCGGTAGTAAGCTCTGAATGATTAGAGGATGGGGGAAAAAACACTCTCTCTTATGCAAAAGCGAGTCTTTTTACATGTTTTAGTTCTGCTATGTTGCCCAAGCTAGACAGCTTCATGAAATCCATCTCAATGATGCCAGTTGAATAGAAAGGTAGATATGATGAAACATGATGAAAACTCTCGCACTTTATTCACGATAAAAACCACTTTGTTCTCATTGCCCGATCATCAAAGCGGAGTCCTGTGGAGATGTTGCAGTGAATTGTAGGGTGTAGCTTTGGCAAACGTTTCAGCTGAACTCATTCACTCACTTGGCTCTGTTTTGATCTTTCTCATTATGTTGTCAGTTCTAGATAGGGTGAAGGGTGCTTATGGTGTATTTATGGTGTGTTTTTCTGGGTTTCTTACCTCATGTTTTTGCTCCTTGTGTTTTATTTATCTGGGTTTTTTTTCCCTATTCACTACTCTCTCTTCAGGCCAGAAAGCACATTTTGGAGATCCACACACGGGACTGGAATCCCAAATTGTCTGAGCCATTTTTAGATGAACTTGCAGAAAAATGTGTCGGTAAGAGTGATGTTTAAGTATAAAACATTATGCCAATTTTGAAAGTGACTGCAGTGTGTAGCTTTACTTTAAAGCTCCAGGTGTTCGGGTAGAACAATAAAAGACAATTGAAAAATTTTCACCATGAAGTGGCAGCAGCTCACGGTGGCTGTGCCAAAAGAGCCAGCGTAAAACCCTAATTAGGAAAACAAATGATTCACTAAGCTTTGTTGTTCTCTTTCTTACAGGCTACTGCGGTGCTGACATCAAAGCACTTTGCACAGAGGCAGCCTTGATGGCGTTGCGCCGCCGCTATCCCCAGATCTATGGCAGCAGCGTCAAACTGAAGCTGGACGTCGCCTCTATCGTCCTGGGGCCTGGCGACTTCAGCAAAGCAATGAGGACAATTGTCCCAGCCTCCCAGAGGGCTTTGGCTCCCCCAGGCCGAGCCTTGTCCCCAACCCTCAGGCCCCTGCTGGCCACTTCTTTCTCCTTGGTGCTGAAAGCTCTGCTCCGAGTCTTCCCCCATGCTCAGTGTACTGACAGGGACAACACACACGGTAGGCGTCTGGAACCCAGGCACCTGTGGTTTCAATTCTATCATGTGTTTTCCTTTTCTTGCTGCTGTTTTTCCACTGTCACTCTTGCTCTTATCTCTCTTGCCACCTGTCTCTCTTGTTAGTTTGTTTTTCCTGTTGGTACTTTGTAGTATTTGATTATCTCTATCTCGTTCCCCAACCTTATTACCAAAGTGCTTTGTATCGCCCTCACACAGTGAACATAGAATCTGTAGTGAAACATCTCCCCTGTGTATGCAGAAGTGATGGCACAGAGATTGGATAACTAGTCATCCTGTGAGCGCTTCAATAACTCAACTCCCACTCCAGTCAACTGAAGACTGTTTACAGCAGATTAGGCTCGATGCAATACTCGACCAGTTGGAGATTGCTTGCAGGAATCATACTTCTAAAAGCCATTAATGACATGAAAATCCCATAGCTGTGCATGATGTCAAATGGCCTAAACATCTCTAACTAATAAGCAGATTTGCTTTTCTTTTTCTTTAAATTTAATTTTCTTGTTGAATTTGCTTCATTAACATCAGCAGCAGTGCTACTTTCAGGATTAAACTTTTCAGAAACAATTTTTTATGTACCCCTTTGCCATCAGTACACTGAGTAAAGCCAGGAAAAGTGAGTAGCCACATGTGTACATGATCAATGTTCCTCACAGTGCTAGGCGGTGACAATCATCTGCTAGAAGAGGACCTGTATAGCGACGATGACAATGAGGAAGGCTCTGCTTCCATTTATGAAGTCCAGCCTGCTGCATCCCCAAAGAGTCAGCTCACCTCTTCTGCAATGCACAGACCCTTCCTCCATTTCTCCTCGTGAGTTCACCAAAGATGGCTTTTATGTGCTTTTTTGTGCAAAGGCGCTGCTTATGTGTCATAACCAACAGATGGAATGAATGTTGTGTCAGAAAAAAACATCTTTTATCACAAGACTGCATTTAAGACCTACTCAGATAAAAAAACTTCAGACTGCTCTACAGAACTGCATTTTCTAACGCTGAAGTTACAATACAACAAACAGGTGCTATCGGTTCTCATTTTCGCCATTTAATTCGTGCTACAATAGCTCCAGTGAGCCTTGAAATACTGCTATCTCCTTAGATGAAGGCAACCTCTAAGGCAACAAATATACAGTTGTTCCACTGGGAGTATTTATTAACAATCCTCAGCTGTAGAGTCAAAGGGGTTAGATCATAGGAGAGGATGAAAGAGGAAACAGAAGGTGAAAAGACGACTCACAAACCAGAATTGCTATTGCACCTTCTATTTAGAAATGTAGACGGGCAAAGGAAATAAACCGATCAAGTACTTGGCCTTTGACTTTCCGTTAACTTGAACTATTTGATAAACACATTAAGCACTTATCAAGCTTCTTGCTTTCAAGCTGTATAAAATTTGCTCGCACTGTGTGTTAGATGCACATAGGAAAAGCCCCTGAAGGCATGTCTAGATTTGTAGATTAATGGCACCTACTGGATTGAATGCAGGCAAAGCCATGCTTAAGTGGCTTATTGGCGTTGTTATCAAACAGCTGTGCTGCAGTAGGACAGATTTTGTCAGAACTCTGTTTCAAAAACATGTCTCCTCGAGGTTGAGTACAGATAACAATTACTGCAGAAGTAGAACTCATGTAACTCTGAGATAAGGGAGGAGTCCCAGTCATTTTTGCCTTCAAAAAAGCCATCAAGTAAAATGCAGAGCAGGATTACTAAGATTGTGCTCCCACACAAACCTTGAAAACAACAATAAGCTGCTGCAAGCGGGCATGTTGCCTTGTGCGTGCACATGTGCACAAGTAATGTGTTCACAGCTGGGTGTTTGCAAAACCATACTGAATTCCTGTTGTTTTTCCTCTGACCACTCTTCTTCACGTGTGGCTTATTTTTCTGCATCACTTGTGTGTGGGATTGCTTTTACACCAAATGCCAAAGATTCATTGCAATTAAAAGCAACTCTTACAGACTCGGACTAAGCTGTAGCTTTTACAGTGAGTGCACAAAAGTAAAAAGAGAACAATAGGGCTTCTGCTGTGACGAGGCTTTTTAAATGACTGGAGGACTGTTGTACTGCACTCATATAGTGATAGATGATACACTAACTGTGAACTCCCATCTGCCTCTAGCTCTGCCCTCCAACAGCCCACAGCATACAGGCCTCGTCTGCTCCTGGCAGGGGCCCCGGGCTCAGGACAGAGCTCCCACTTGGCCCCTGCCTTGCTGCACCACCTGGACAAGCTACCAGTACACCGCCTGGACTTGCCCACTCTCTACTCCGTTAGCGCCAAGACGCCAGAGGAGTCCTGTGCTCAGGTAAAGCGCAAACGCATACCGATGCACTGAGAAGGTGCAGACATGTATTTATTTAACTGAAGTTGTTTTACTGTGAGAACAAAATTTGGAGACAGTAGGCAATCTGCTGGCTTCCACAATCTTTATTTCCATTTCTTCAGTTTTAGAAAACATTGTTTGCTTGACCATTTTCCCTGTAGGTATTCCGCGAGGCCCGCCGGAGCGTGCCCAGTGTAGTATACATGCCACATATCTCAGAGTGGTGGGACACAGTAAGTGATACTGTGAAGAGCACCTTCCTCACCCTGCTGCAGGATGTGCCCTCTTTCAGCCCTGTCCTTGTCCTCGCCACAGCTGAAACTCACTACTCAAAGCTGTCAGATGAGGTAGGAACGCACACACGAACACCTGAGCTGACATTTTGAGATTTTCCTGAAGGCTTGCAACCTTTTTTTTTCTTTCATAATATGAAAGAGAAGATTGTTAACCCAGTGTCCTTTTTATGTGGTGTTGGAGGTTAAAGCCTGATTTGAAGGTTTTGTTTTTTTTCCTGTGCTAAGCTGTAATGCTTGTGCAAACAGTGCGTCACAGTAAATGTCATCTGCTTCCACAGTTTTTATCTACTTTTGTTTTGTCACCCGCTGACCGCCACACCTCACCCAACCCTTCAGAGCAGTCAGCTGAGGGGAAACACTGAAACCCTAATCATCAGTCATAATCACTATCGTAACAATCCCCCCTCCCACGGTAACCCAGTCTCCCCACCTCCCCACCCCCTCATCAGGCTTGTCTTTTTTGGGTTACCTTGTTCAACCAGAGATATGAAAAATAAAAAGCAAAAGAAAATAAACATTGTTGATAAAATGAAGGCAACAGAGCCTGCAAAGAATGAAAGACTGGTTCATTTAAAATCAAAACATTTTAAATGTCATTATTTTTTAATTTTAGAACTTCATTTATTGTGCTTGTTTATATTGGATATAGGTTTGTCCCATAGTGAGGGGCATGTAGGAATTTTTTTTTTAATAAAACAAAATTAAAATAATTGCTATATATTGGATATTCTCTGTAGAAAAATGCAAAGCTGATAAGCCTATCAATTGATTCTGTTGGCTGAAGCTAAAACAAAAAACAGACCGGATCTAAATCTGGCAGCACTGACAACAACGCTTGAAGTTCTGTTGCTGATGACACAGACTTTGCTAACCAATGACTGATGAGGGAAAAAAATAGCAAAAAGCCAACAGGGAGTCCTTACTCCCACCCAAACATTCAAGGAAAAATGCTGCAGTTTAGAGCAGTCTGAAAAACCAAATAATCAAGCTTTGTACCCCACACTGTGCCCCAGTCTGCACTGTTTTCTGACTGTAAATGAACATTTAGACTATATGTGTGATGATTAATGGTTGACAGACAGATGAATATTGTTGCTTAACACTTGTGGCTTTATTTACTCTGAGAAAATACTTCATAGCTTGACAGTGTTGACCACTGACATTTTCACTGCTGGAAATTAAATGAGCCCTCATTCTCAGCTGTAGCAACCTTAATGGATTGACTTTTCTTTAAATGATGTGAAGATTGATTTCCTTGAAATATGCTACACTGGAAGTGACATTTCCACTAAGCACTTAAGATAAGCTTTAGTTTGTAGGTGTGTTTTAGCACACATGACTAAATCCATGTTATGGTGTAATCAGTGACATAAATTGACTGAAAGATTATTTATGATAAGCAGGTTTTAAGTTTCTAATAGTTTTCAGACTGCCCTGAGATGACCCTAAATGGTGGTTAAAGCCAGACAAAATGTAAGAAATCAGAAAGTAACTATTTGAAGCTAATGGTATAAAAACTCAGTCATTCCTGCTGCTGCTAGAAATAGTTTCTGTTGCACTACTTATATCTACAGCCTTTCTTTTAAATCCTGCAATGGGAACATAACGAGTACATGAGTTGGTTCCACTGATTGGGAGTATTGTTCAGGCTATTTAAAAGCTTGTTTCATCTACTAATTAGACCTATTTGCTGGATTTGTTTGCTTTATCAATCATTTTTAGGCACGGACATGCCGCAATCTATGGCGCTTTAAGTGATTTGGCTATCTCTGAGAGTGTTGTTTCTCTCTCTGGCACGGAGAACACAGTGACAGCTGCTGTCTCAGCTCCAAGCCTCAGCAGGGAATGGCTAGGATCCCTCCCCAGCCAAAACTGACACTGCAGGCTTGGGTCCAACTACATAATTTCCCTCCCTCCCTTAACAGTCGTTCAGCCTACTAAGATTGACTCCCTTTTCTATAAAAGTAGAAGGAAAATTTGCTCCAGGTTCAACACAAAGAGTGTGGAGGGATGGTGGCATCCCTTAGTATCTTTGCTATCTATCTAGTTGTAACACATTTTGCTGTGTCTTTGATACATTGCTATACTGTTCAAGTGCACAATAACTGTATCAACAGCCTGTAGAGTGTGAATTCTATCCACTGCTGATTGACCATAAAAACATGATTAATAATGCATTGGTAATCTGGTTGCAGTGCCAAGGAGCAATAAATACAGTGTAGTAACACTTATGTCCTGTGAGATGGATGATGAGGCGTAGTGATGTTTGTACAGTGCGTCCTTCAGCCAGACTTGAGTTGCAGCGGTTTTGCTGTTTTGCTGTTCACGCTTGAGGTTGGGCTGTAAAGGCCAGTGTTGGGCGATACGCCGCAATAGCACAGTTACTGATAAGACATTGAAAGTGAACAGCAAATCTCGCCTGCTGCTTCACATTTGCACAACTGATGCATCACCTTGGAAAGAGGGTTTCAGATATCTGACACTGACCTCTTCAATGGTTTCTAAATGCACACTGGCTCTTTTGTGTCATGCACTATTTATGTCTCCAAAAGCAAAATCATCACTGACCATTGTTCCTCAGTTCATGCTAAATCTTCACTTATCAAAGCACAACAGTGTGTGCACTGGCAGAATGAATTGTCACTTCCTATTCATCTATTTTCTTCTGCTTTTCTGGGACTGGGTCACAGTGGCAGCAGGCTAAATAAAGTAAGCCAGCAGAACCTCTCTCTCATCCATGTCGTCCAGCCCTTTTTGGTGATGGCTAAAATGTAATCCCTTTGGCATGTCCTTCCAGTTATTTGTGCCGCTGCCTCTACTGACTCGTTTCAGAGCAAAGGAGCCTCGATTCTTCTCGGAGCTCCTTCAGGATGTGTGAGCTCCTCGCTCTCTTGCTCTTTCAGTAACTACAGAAAACTCATACCAAGCTTGAGAGAGAGTTCATATGTGAGATTCAGAATGCAGTCCAGTGAATGAAAAGCTCCTGCTGATGCGACACATTCACGGTCCATGTTATCACCATCTGGGCTTCAGTGTTCCAGTTATCCATTACTCTTGCAGATTTCTCACTTTTATTCCCTAGATGCCGTGTAGTAGGTAGGGACTTGGGAATTTGATTCAGGTTAGCCAACATGAATGTGATTTTACTAAATAAAGCCTTTAAAGCATTGGAGATGGAGATAAGTGGCTCTATAACCATGAAGTGAAAGAACGGTGATAATGGAAACCTACGTGTCTCTTGTACGCATACACAAACTTTTCATGTGATTCAATTTATAGGTTTGCAAACATTGATTTCCAGCTACAAACTTTGAAAGTTGTTGTGTAAACCAGCTCAAAATCTTAACAACCCTAATCTGAGTCTATAAAGAATAGGTGTCCACTTTTATTTTACAGTCTCTCTAGCCAGTAGGCATTCCCTTTATACTTTCCACCCTCCCTTCCTTTTTAAACATTCATCTGTCTACACATTACTGCTCTCTCTCCTGGTGTTAATACACCTGCAGCCTTTATCATAATAAAAATACTGTGAATCATTACCTGCTGTGTGCTACCTGCACGATCTCTTTCTGGCTCTCCTACTGTTTTTACTCAGTTTCTCCTTTTTTAACCTCTTCTGAGGGGAGAGCAAGCAATTCAGAGAGTGTGTGAAAGAAAGACACCAGATAGCGGTGCAGAGCGAGCAAACATGCCACAACTAAGGGTGAGGATCGATGTGAATGACAAATAGCGGGGGAATTATAAAGAGTAAAGTCGGCGCTTCGTCAGCAGCGGGGCATCCTGTTGGAACTGGTGTTCAGCTCCATCACAGAACTAACTTAGGATACAGCATCCATGTAAATGTACACATTGGCAGGTTATATGATCTTCTGCGTATGACCTGCTGCAGAGGGACTACAGATGCAAATGAGCCCAAGCTAACTAGACATTTATGTTAATATTGTTAATATTGTCCATGGTCCCTTTTCAAATAAAATGAATTAATAATAGGAATTATAATGATGCTCTCACTTGAGGTCTTTTGACTCCAAGCGTGCATTGTATGTGATAATAAAAAGTTCTGCTTCAGGTTAAACATTTGGCTATCAGGGAATGAGGTTATCGTGCTTTTTTTAAAAAAATTTTTTATTTATTTATTTTTAAATACTTACAGTTTAGTCAGTCCTTCTGAATTATACAGGTTGAAACATCAGAACTTACAGGCAGACCAAATTTAGAGTCATTGAAACATTGTTATTGAATCCTGCAGGCTGAGAGGAAAAAATACAAACAAACAACCATTAAAAGAAAACGCATCAAATCAGACCATGTAACTCATCCACTACAGGGTCTCATGTTCAGCACAGTTTTTCCATATCTGTTGTTTTCCATTAAGAAAATTGACTTCAGTTGAATTAAATTCAATCCAATATGAACAGTTTTTATCCATTAAAATCCACCACAGTGCTATTTGTTTTTCTTTTTTTCCAAAACACTGCTTAGCTGTGCACATTCACTGAGGACATCTGTAATACTTCATACATGCATTATATTTAGTAGAGTTGTGGTTGAGAATTTATCAAACACCTTTTAATAGCATTAGTGTTTATTAACCCATTGTTACCCACTCTGATTTGCAGTTTTTGACAGTTAAGATAACCTTTATTATTCCTACAGATGGGAAAGTTGTTGCTTTTATAATATAAGAATTTCCCCACAAGAAATCTGCCGCGTGTTTAAGGCGATGCATTGTCTGCAAACCTTGGACAGTGGGCTGTTTATCAATTGGGTTCTATTAGAAATAACGAGTCCCGTTTTCTTTTTACCTCTTTGGTTTGCAATTTGGACTTAAATATTTTCCATGTTCATTAAGTCCTGTGCTTGGTTTCTGCTGTGCTATTTTGTGCATTAGTTTAATGTAGCGACAGATGAAAAGAGGACTCGCGTCAATGTCATAATTATTATTTATCATTGGCTTCTGTGTTAACAAAAGTGTACATAACAAACTTCAGTGGAAGCAGTTAGTTTGTGCCCCTGATATCAAACTGAAATTAAATTGGCTCAAAGTGGAATATTTTCACATCTCATGAATTCTACTTGGAACAAAAATGAATGAAACAACTGCCTTATAGTGCTCAATGAAAAAGGGCACCTTAGAATAAACATACTAAGTATACCGGCGTGGCAACAAGGTTTGACATGTTCTGTTGGTGAGTCTTTTTCAGAAACACCCTTATTTCTTTTTTCCCTTTTTTAAAAACTCCTTTTTCTTTTCTTTTCTTTTTTGTTAAATACAGGTGAGAAGTATATTCCAGAGGACCTATGGGGAAGTAGTTGCACTGTCCCCTCCGGGAGAAGAGGAAATACGGCACTTCTTCTCTGACCTCCTGTTGGTTCAAGCAGCCAGGCCTCCACCACGCCTCAGGAATGCAGGTATCTATTTATGCATACATAAGTAAATAGCATAATGACTCATTTCTTCTGTCAGTGCTAGAGGGCAGTGTTGGCTGGTGTTGACTGCTTGTATTATTCCCTCTCTAGCTCTGGTTTCGTATTTCAACTCTCCTTTTATTTTGGATTAAATGTAGACTGGAGGAGCAAATGTTATTTGATCGGTATGTTAAAAACGGTCCTTGCGTGTGCGCGTTTGTGTACGTGTGTCCCTAATTCATATTCGCAGATCAAAGCTTTGTTTGACGTTCAGAATTGGTTTAATTTCACCTCGGCAAAAATATGTACAGATGTTAAGGTAATTAGCGTGGTGCACACAGAAGTGTAAGATTGGCCCAGTGTGAAACCTGTGAATCCTGGACATTTCTATTTCTCAGCCACATCAAAATCAGGCCACAGCACCCCTCAATCACATCCCCATCCACCAGTACAATTACCCCCTGCTATTTCCCTACTGCTCAATCTCAGTGTTCCCAAAGTCTACTGTTCCAGTTCAATATGAGAATGCTGTCCACCCGGGCTTTCAAATGGAAATGGTGTCCAGCATTCATCTTTCGATTCCTCATTGATGCAAACCAGGAGGGTCCCCTGCTGTACTCGCTCTGTGCTCTTCAGGGGCTCCTGCCTCTCTAAGACAGCAGTCTGATTTCCTGCAGAGAGGCCAGCAGAAAAGCACAGAGAGGAATTGCTGTGAGAGGGCCCGGCCGCGATTAACCATAATTAGAATCAGGAGTTGGATTGCTGCTGCTGAGTGAAGCGCCCTTAGGTGCTGTATAGCCCTCCTAACGATATGGGCCGATGCCTTGGGCAAGTATGGGCACCTCTAGAGACGAAGGGTGAAGATCTGCTGGCTTTGCTTTATCGCTTCGCCACTGGCCAGAGGCTGTTCTTAGGTGTATTTCAAAACCAGGGGAGTTTTATTTCGTTAGCTTAATTAATCTTTAATCTAGGGATGCACCTTCACTGCTTTTGACATTTATTACTGTTTTTCTTTGGAACAATAATTGTTTTACTGTTTAAATGTCCAAAGAGGGTATGATAAGGATAGACAACTCCAATGAGCTATGAAACTATTATTTATTGACTTTTTCCCCCCCCCCAACAATTTCTTTGTTTCGATGGCATAAAATCAGTAAGAAGCAGGAAAAGGTAACACCTAATTAAAAAAATTGGCATTGGTCAGACAGTTATTTTGTCTCAGCGTATCCTTACATGTTCTTCTTCACTGGACTAAGTTTGTTTGTTGTTTGCAATGGTGCTAAAAGGAAAAGGTCAATAATGACACTGGTGTCTGACTTTAAACCAAAAGATTTTGTTTAGCAGCTTTACTTGTGCTGATAGTTGAGCCAAATCTTTGGTGCTTTGTTGCTAAGCTATAGACGCTCACAGTTCTTAAATGTGTTAGATGGATTTTTTTTGTCTTGCTGGATGGATGGAAGCAGTGTGAAAACTTTATATACTTTATGCACTTTTCTTGCTTTTCCTCCTCAAACAGATAAGTGTGAAGAGGTTCTGCCAGTGGCGGAGGCTCCAGGCCCGAGAGTCCTTTCAGCAGAGGAACAGCGTCGCCTGGCTGAACAGGAGGAGAACACATTACGGGAGCTCAGGCTCTTTCTCAGGGACGTGACCAAGCGCCTGGCCACTGACAAACGTTTTAACATCTTCAGCAAGCCAGTTGACATTGAAGAGGTAGAGTGGAATTGATTTGTGGAGGGACTGACGCCAGCTTTGTCAAACTGTGAATGAGATCACAAACTCAGTGTTTATGTTTCAGGTGTCAGACTACCTGGAGGTGATTAGGCAGCCCATGGACCTATCCACTGTCATGACAAAGATTGACACCCACCAGTACTTGACAGCCAAGGACTTCTTGGTGGACATTGACCTCATCTGCAGTAATGCTTTAGAATACAATCCCGACAAGGACCCTGGAGGTGAGAAGTAGTTGGGCTTGATTATGAATCCACGTACATAAATACAATCTCACCAGCAGGCTGTCACAAATGTAAAATAAAAAATTAACAAACAAAAAAAACTCATAAATAGTCTTGTATTACCAAGGTAGGCTGAGTATATCTGTTCTATCTCATAATTAAGTCACAGATCTTATTTTGATATCAAGCTTTCTATACACCCCTTGGTAGTGAAGCAAATTAGAAAATTTCCCCAAAAGTTGTATAATTATTTAATCCCCAGCTTATTTGTGATATCGTCCCTAAAACTGGCACAATATCTATAGAAAACTCCCAGTGTCCAATTTCCCTTGATGTTATATCAACATATCCAAATAAATATGAGCCTGTGTATCTCTAGTCATGGCTGTGTTCCATTAGACCACCACTGGTGAGTAAAAAGTAATTAGATGTAATACTTAATGACTTAAAAGGAGAGCTTCCAGGCGGTAAAATTGCTTAAATATGGTTTTCTCTAACTTGGAAATTCAAATGCAGTACATACGGCCCCCACTGAAAATAGCATTTCCACAGTGTACTTCATGCTCTGTAGCTGTGGAAGGCTGCATATGCATTAAAATTTAATTTGTCTCCTTTCTTGCAGTTTGAACTGAATTTTACCCCATCCACACTTCATCTCAGCACATTTTCCAGGCTTAGAATGGGCTTTATAAGGATTGGTGGGAAACACTTGTAAACAGAAATATATTTCATTTTCTATACCTTACACATATGTCTGAATTTTGCATGACAGGAAATGTTCTGGGGTGAATAGGTTCATTTAAGTTCAGTTCACAACCACAACACAGCCTCCTCAAGGTGATGTGTTTTATGCAGAATTTACAATTAATATAATATAGCAGTTAGCATTAATATAATATATTATTATATAATTATATTATTGTTGCACCAAATGATTCAAATCTGATATAATGTTTACTGCAGCATGTGGCAGGCCTGCGTTAAAACATTCACTTAAAATTGCTGTTTTAATTCTTGCCTTGTGTGTTTAGCTGCCTCGGCACCCTTGCTAGAATATAGCTGCCCGATACTAATGGGAAGCAATTCTCTGCCCAAAGGAATAAATCATATCTCTGTCTTTGCAGCCGAGGTCCTGGGTCATTTGTTGGAATGCAGGGCCTACAAATGATACACTAAAGGGAAAAAAAATTGCAATTAGGCAATTTAATAAAGAAGACTAACGAAGCATCTTGTCTGCTCACCCTGTGCTTGGTCCAGGGAATATGGCCCAGACCCTGCACAATTATGCTGCTTGGGAAGTTCTCCACCAGCTCTCCTAGTGCTTGGGAAAGAACCTCATTATCCCTCTGTGGTCTGTTTGTCCTTGTCCTTCACACTGAATTTAGCGTAAAGTCCTCCACGTCCAGTCATGTTGGTTTGCTTGCTTTATACCTCCCCACCTGGCTAAATAATTTGTTTAAAAATTGGGATATCTCTGTGCTCCACAGTACGACTCAGGGTTAGAAATACTCTTTAGCTGATTGGGTGAAATGGCAATAACAACCCTTTAACTATAAAGGAGCACTAAAGCAACAGAGTTGCATGTCAGTCCGTCCCTGACAGTTTTAGATGGGGAGGTTAGTCCATGAAGTTGCAGATGAGCTCTTGGCATCCCACCTGGCCTTTGACATTTGGGCTCATGCACGTGCATTTTTTCCCCTTATAATGCACGTGCATGAGCATACTGTGAGACGTGCTCTGTCAGTAGAAAAACACACACACATGCACCCAAATTGCCTCCATTGCAATTAAGCAGCAATCCTCCAATTAGACAAGGGAAGCTGGCAGATTGTGACCTCTGTGCCACTCTATGCCTGAACTCTTCTCCCACTGCCTGCTGTAATGAGAGACGGCCTGTTTACAGAGACTATGCTTTTAGCCTGCCTCTGCAGCTCTGCCTTTATTTTCCCTCCATGGATGCAGAAGCAGGGGGAAAGGAGGATTTAATAATGCTGTGACACATCTAAAGGGAACAAGGCCTGGAAGTTATAAAGGTGTAAGGACTGTGAGAGATAATGAGTGTGCATTTTAAAAATATTTCTCTTTGTATGTGCAATATACATGGTTGTGTGTGCATATAATGCACCCAACTTTGTCTTAAATGTTTGAAGTAGTGGCATTCCTGCTTTCATGTCTGCAGTTCTGCCCACTAACATTTCTCACTAAAGCCAGCTCTATCCTTTCGTTGGTACTGTGAGAAAATTCTACACTCCCCTTTCTCACAGATACAGTGGAATGGGTTAGGCTTTCTATTGACTCTTTGCTTTGCCTGCTCGTTAGGGTATGGAGAGCATGCTTTCATGATGGGAGGCAAATGAATATTTAAAATGCCATACCAGAGATTTGGGTAGATGTCTGCACTATGTTCTCAGCATGTCTCTGAACATATGGCACATGAATGCAGCCCTATACAGAAAGCTGTGGTTTGTGTGTTTCTTCATTTGTGTTGTTTTGTCGTCTCCTCCCTTCTCAGACAAGGTGATCAGGCACAGAGCGTGCAGTTTAAAGGACACAGCCCATGCCATATTCGCTGCTGAGCTGGACCCTGAGTTTGATCGCATGTGTGAAGAGATTAAGGAGGCGCGCAGGAAGAGGGGTAAGAACTTCATTTAAATGGAGAAGGGGGGGGTTGCTGCAGATCCAAACATCCTAAATTAGCTGCTTATAAAAAAAAAAAAGAAGACAGTTTTTCCAATGTGATCATTTTAATAACTCTTACTCCAGTATTTTGTTAGGAGTGTTTTGCTGCGTTTCATTATATTGTTGTGTCAGCTGACTAATGATGACACTTAAAAGTACAGTTTGTTTATCTAAATATCTAAATATTTTGGGAGAATATTCAGGCTGAGCTCAATAATGAACTCAAGCCAGTTAATGTTAGCTGTGTGGTTCCCAGCCTGTCTGCTCCCCCCCCTCCCCCTCTCATCTGGAAAGTCTTTGATAGATTCTTTCAGAGAATAGAAATTTGCTTTTAGGAAGAAAATCTGTAGGGTAGCCCAGCAGTACTTGATGGAGCAGTCAGTTTTTAGTGCAGAGTATGTGGCACAAAAAGGAGTGGCGCCTCAGGCTCCAGTGTTTCAGACAGTACCTTCTGTGCTAGCTGTCTGCCTGACGCTCCATATTTGTACACTCACCAAACAGCCCCAAGCAGTGCTGGGTGGACGGAGGGTAAATCTAAATTAGGCTTATGCACATAGAAGCACACAGGCAACGCAGTAATATGATGTGTTTTATGTATGCTGTCAAATACTGAGCACAAATCTGTATAATCTTGTTTAAATATTCCGATTGCTTTACATGCCCACGTGGGAGTTAACATTAATTAACAACATTTTGTACAAAGAGCACAGCACACTTGTTACATTCCTCTTAGTAATGTAAGCCATGACCAGATTGGGCTACAAATCATATCTGTGTGGGCATATGCCAACAGAAAAAACAGGATATGTTCAGTCCTTGCACTGACTTTTTCTAGAAATGGACACAAAACTGCTCTTGAAGCTGAGGTTATCTTCCATCTTCGCCTCTCAAAGTGATGCGACTGCCAGGGAACTGCACAAGAAGACCAAATTTCTCATATAAAATATAATCTGAAGTATGCACAGAGGTCTTATTGACATCAGCCACAGAGGCCTGACAGTTTTTTTGTCAAGCAAAAAAAGCCAATTTTCAGAAGTCACCCTGTTTCTTTTGATTTCCTCTTTTAGCAACTAAAAGCACAGGATGCTAAATGAATATTGCAGGAGCAGAAGTCAATTGCCTGAGAGGAGGAATACAGCAGTGTAAATATTTAATCTTCCAGTCAAGGTCCTGCTATAAAGCTATCAATTAGCCCAGCACTGCATGATGTCCAGCTGCAGCGGCGTTCAAAACCCACAGTGCGTCCGGGGGTGGGTGGGGGTTCCTCCCCCGTGACAAGATGAAAGGAGTTGTGATAAATTTGGCTAAAAACTTAAATATCGCCGGATGTTAGAGTTGAAATGTCTCATTTTCAGGGGCTTGCATGTCTCTACACTTCCAGTTCTGTTTTTTTATTCCTGTCATACTCGAGCTCCGGGTGAAACATAACCATTGCAAATTATATCTTTGTAGTTTTAATATTAATGTGTGTGCTGAGTGACACACAGTTGTACTTCACTCGGCATATCACAACCCTTTGGTCATCTTTGTGTGTCACATCACATTTTTATCAATGTCTGCCAACGTACCTTCATAGCCTTTTGGTGTTTTATTCTCACACACACGCTGACATAATATACTGCCAGCAGCGTGTTTCAGAAGTGCTTTTCGTGTTTACACACACCGAACTGCACACGCACACAAAGCACAAAGAGTATTGTCCATTGTCGGTAACTGATCCTCTGTGGGCACCGCAGACCTTCTGACGCCGGCTCAGCTGTCAGCGGTTCCGGGTGCTGGTGCAACCAGGAAGCACCACAGTGCGGGAGAGGAGCAACCCAGGAGCAGCACTCAGGGTGATGCCACTGAGAAACATTGCACCACTAGTGAGTATTTATGCAATCTTTTAGACCACACACATTCCCACAACGGGGGTGGAAGATGAGCTCAACAGGCTGATCATGCACACGCTTGCCTTGTAGTGTCAAGCAAATGCAGAAAAAACTCAGATTCTCTCCAAATACTGCGAGCCTTTCTGCTCGACTCGCATTCACTCAAAACTTTTGACTCTCCCAAACACAGCAGCCAGCAGCTGTGTCGTACTGCAACAGAATACCAGATGTATGTGATTCTCAACACACACACACCCCACACCTGGCTCCTCACACACACACATACATTTCTCAGCAGTGCAGAAGCAACACAGTGAGCAGCCTCATTAGCAAGGCTGCTCTCTTCTAACCATTCAGAACATGACCACGCCACAGAGCAATTACATGCCCACCTGTGGCAAACGGCAGGTGCCTAAAGGTGAAGGGAGGGCCGGGAATGGATGGGGGGCAGACTAATGAGGCTGTTACCTTTTTACAAATCAAAGGTAAGCAGATTATGCAAGTAATCTGAAAAGATGTTCTCTAGCATTTACCTGGATAGGGTAAGGGAAGACTGAGATGCTAGCCAAAGGGTCTTCTGCAGCCATGAGATCAACAGAAAATGAAAAATTTAGAGATCACTTTGAGACCCTCGCTTCTTTATAAAACTACATCATTACATAATGATGGTTAATTATCTGAGATGATCAAATTTAATGACTGAAGTGGTAAAAGCTATTTAAAATGCTCTGTTGTGGCTTTTTTTGTGTACCTGTGTAGTGCACCAGTCCAACACTAGGTGGTGCTTGTCTCTCATGAGAGTTTACCTAAAGGAACCCCTACTGTGTGAGTAAACCATGCGTTCTCTGAGGGAGATGGTGCCCTCTTGAGAGTGGAGGGCATCTTTTTTTGAACGGCAAACATCTGAGAACTCAAGCTCACTGCAACTCATCAGGTTCTGTTAAAGCCAAGAGTAACAGTTTGATAGTGTGGAGGTGAAATGTGCAGATTAATGTTCACCTAAACAGCAGTTCAGGGTTAACTAATGAAGCTTTGGTAGAAGACTTTAACATCACACTCCAACACAGTCCTGTTTCCACCCCCTTTTTTTTTCTTCCAATGTAGCACTGGAGAAGTGGAAACAAAAATATGTTATATTAGCCAGATTATTCATATTTTAAATAATCTCCAAATTGCTGCCTGTTGTATTGCATCACATGATATTATGCAAGTGTATTTAGTCATAAGTTGATTGCTAATAACAATTATTTGCAACATTTTAAGTAATATAATCTGTAAATAATCCAAACAAATCAGTGGCAAAGTGAAAGAAGGGTCTAATTTATTAATCTGCACAGACCTTTTTTTTTCTTTGATAACAGGTGACAGCCAGCTGTATGTGCTACCTTTTAGCTGCAGTCTTTATCTATGACGCTAAATGTCACAGATACTAACCAGCAATTTAAAAGCTCTTGGGAGAGTCGTTATCAGCCTCCACCAGAGACTTAATTAATTAGGCTAACTCAGGTGATTAATTGGTGACATTGGCAGCCAGTTCTCACCTGGTGCACCTCAGCAAGGCAGCTATTAGGCTAATTGAACCAGTTATGTGCCGAGATATAACAAAGCCACATAACAAAGGAATGGAACATCAGCTGGAAGAGATGCCAGAGCTGAAGAATCGTTCCTGAAATTGCACCCACTTCAGCCAGGTCATTCTGGGGTTATTACCTTTCCCCTGTTCTTCTGTGGAAGGGCAGGACACTTGAAGGTCAAAGTTATCCTCGATCATTACCTTCCGGGGATAGAGCCTATCTGGAGCTCTTTGGGCATCTGCAGCTCTATAGGGCTTTTATCTGGGCCACCACTCTCCCTCTCCTTCCATCCCTCTTTTCTGTTTGCCTGAAGCGGAGAATTGCCCATGACAGTCAGATATAACAGAGTGGTAGCAGGGATGCAATGCACTATTTGAAAGCATGGAGAAAGTTACGTAGAAAGCTTTTTGAAAGGCTAGCGGTATTTCTGATTCAGGTGTTAAAAGCAGTTTGGGTAGATAAGCCGAGTCGTTGAGAATGTAGATGGTGGGCGGGCAGCTGCTGCTACCAGCCCTCTCAGGGTTAGTAAGATGGGAGACCTTGCTGCTGTTAATGCACAAGGAAATGTGAAGGGCGATGGGGTTTCCATTAGAATCCATGGGTGGCTTTGTGATAGTTTCTCTGCTCCCCTCTCCTGGCCCTTCTTTTCTCACCCTCTCCCTTCTCCTGCCACCCCCTCCCAGGAGAAAAACCAAGGCCCATTACCTGGGCCAAAGGCTGGGTTCATTCATAGTGCATCACCACCAGCATTGGGTTCATGTGGAGTGCCTTCCTTTCATTCATAATTTAGCCCCCTGTTTTCCTGATTCACCGATGACTGTTTTACAAGCTAAATCAGCAGGGTTTCTTTCTGTGACCATCACAAGACAGCTGTTGATTAATTGCTTAACTGAACTGCAGTTTTTGATTATTCTCTCTTGCTTTGTCTCAAGTGGCCGGCTACATTTTCACTTTGGCAAAGACTAAACTCGGTCTGTTTTGTTGGCACGGTTCACCAGTGCTTTTCTTTTGCTACTTATGAAGATTGTCCTATTCAACTGTTGAACCGTTTGTGGAAGACAAGAGTAATGATGCAGATGCTGCATAATGTGTCCTCCGCGTCACTCAATGGCACGCCCAAGGCAACAGCCACCCGGCTGCATTCATGGAGATGGAACACTGCTGCGCCTTGCCTCTCCCCAAGCCTGGTATCACAATAAACAGGCAGATCCTCTCTCCATTGCCAATGTCAATCCATCATAAGACCTTGATGGGGTATTTTAAAGTCACAATAAACACTCCTTTTACCTCAGGCTGAAGTAGTCACTGCATAAAAGGATGGCCTGAATTTTGGCTCAAAGGGACAGCAGGCACGCAGCTTGTGATTTGCTGTGATGGTTGCAGCGCACAAGGAAATAGGTTAATAGAAGGGCACTCTGTTTCATTTATAAACACAAAGCAAAGAATTTGGTTAACTTGATTTTCTCATCTGTGCCTTTCATATTTACATGGACCCACTAAATTAAGTTTTACCTTGAAGTCAGCGTGCCGAAGACATGTTGAATCTGCAGCAGCTGCAAAGCGTTTGTTGTCTTTGTAGCTTTTATACAGCTCTGCTCTACAGGTGCTGCATGTAACCTAACATTTCAGGTAAATGGAATACGGATGTACAATTAGCCAGTTTAGATTTCAGTCCAATCATCTCATTTAGTTTGCTCCATTTGCTAAATTTTCTTAAGTACTTTAATAAGTTCCTTTATTTGATTTGATGTTATGGTTCATAGTTGAAAAAAAGCAATAATGGCACTTGTCCTGTTTAAGAGGCTGCCGTGTTTGCCAAATGAACTTGAAAATGAAAGAGACAGTGTTGTTGAGTCCAAAGTTTTAAATACCAGAACACAATTCTGTGGGAAGGTTTAAGCACTCGGACTAAAGTTTAGATGCTTTTGAAAATAATGCCTCAAGTAGCTTTCATTTGTCATTACCTTCATACAGAGACACATGGAGGGAAAAAAAGCGGCTATTTTGTGTAAGCGTCCATGACATTCAAAACAGCACCAGTTCTCAGGTGCACACATGAACAGCTTTTGATAGTTCGCTTCAAACATGCCTAATTTCTTCTGTGGTTTTAGGCTGTCTCAGTTGTCTCTTCCCAGCGGGGGATCTGCCATTCCTTGCAGTACTTACTTTTCTTGTCGCTGAATATGGTTCTTTATCATTATCTGTATATTTGGAGTTCTTATCTTGTTGAACGAAGTTAGGACCTGTCAGTTGCCTGCCTAACGATGTCTCGTGAGAAGAATTAAACACCCTAAGGACCAAAACTTGTCATAAAATAAGGTTTTGTTTTGCGGTTTTTTGCAGTTACACAATACATTCTTGTATTCAATTATCTAGATATTTCTTCATGATAGTTGTTGATCAAATATAGTAAATTGCACATTTCAGTTTACATTACATGTGCTGCAAACCCTTGTAAACGCCATCTGGCACAGACCAGAGGTGATGAATCATCCTGTTTGTGTGGATTTAATATTTCCTCAGCTTCTCAAGGGTCCAAATGAGAACATGCTGGTGGCCAGCAGCAGAAAACAAAGCACCTTGCCTAAAGCTGAGGTGATGATGTTATTATTAGTTATTAGAACTGGACACCGATTCTCCTCAAGTCACTTCTTGGCTACCAAGCAGAAGCAATCTTGAGCTGCACACTCTGACACCCCGTGGCAGTCACTAATAAAATCCGTGCAAAGCCCCGAGCATAAGCTGCCATTTTGTGGGCACAGATGCCTCTTGGATCATTGTGGCACCAAGCGTGAAATGAATGTAAAATTATCTGTGATGCCTCTTGCTTCAATTTATTGTTTTGGGGTGCAGATGAGCTGACATCAGTGTCAGCTTATCTGCACTAGTTAATGTCTTTGAAGATTCATTCTGCGTATGTGGATCTTTCCACTCCCAACGTATCTCCGTGCATTGCTGTTGCCACATGCTAAGTGTGCACAATTTACAGCGTTGTGTGATGAGGCTCTTCACAGGATTGTAATGTCTGTTTTTTATTTCTGTGCCATGCAGATAACCATATATATTATTTTAAACCGCTTACATTTCTGTCTGAAAGAAATGAGCCTGGAGAGTTGCACTAGAATGATTGAGCATCAGTGCTCAGTGTCTCTGTGCATGCCCAATGACGACAAGCTGTGTTGCCTAAGGACGCTAGGAAAGGGGAGAGAGAGTGAGGGAAAGGGGGAAGTAAATGAGTGAGTGAGGGCGGGAGGCTTCTGAATGCTAGACAGAAAGTATTATAATGCTGACAATTCCCTATTATGATATATGGTTAATGCCTTTTCAGAGGCTGTGCTTAGTGTTGTACAGACAGATTAGGGCAAGGGTGAGTATGAAAATACTGCCAGTGCGTAGGTGTCCATTTTGCACAGTGTTGTT